TTTTTTTTTTTTTTTTTATGGTGTCTTTGCTTTTAACTTTTTAAACAGTAAGAAGCCACCCAAAGTCTTTTGGAGTGGGCAGCCATAATAAATCTAAATAATAACAGTAACAACAACAATATTAATAGAAAGAAGTTATACACACACTTAGAGTCAACTGAATTATTTTTGCTCCTAAGTTTTCAAACAAAAGCTATTTTTACCATGGGTTGGGAGGATGGAAAGGTACCCGCAAGCCCCATGAAGTAGACCAGTCCAGAGAATCAATTCTACAAGAAGGCTAAAACTATTTTTATTGAGATAGGCTGTATTATCAGAATCTTGCAAATCTGGTGGTGCTTTTCTTCCCCTCCCTCTTCTACCCCGGAGAGTCATGGAGGGGCCAACCTGGGTCTCTTCCTAACACTGTCTCCTTTCCTGTCCTCATGATTTCTGAATATTTCCTTCAAGGCCACCCCCCTGACCTGGCTCCAATCTGTCAGACCCCTGTAGACAGTCCATCAGTTAGGGATGCTTCTCATCTTCTTCCATCTTCGCTCAATCCACTCCAAACTGTTTCCATGTTTGGCAGGTTCCTGCCCACCCGCCCATCCCAGAATTAATCCTTAAAACTTATTTAAATAAGTATGTTCAGACAGACCTTCACTTCTACATGAATTTTAGGAGGGTGGCTTTTCTTCTGAGCCAAGAACTGCACCACAGAATTCAAAGAGCAGATCTAAGCAATCAAAAGGACTTCTTGGTCCAGGTGGGGCAGATCTGGTCACTGGAGACAGAAACCTTCAATGAATGAATGCCAACACCTCCCTTTCTCGCTGGTGCTATTCAACATCCTCTTCGCCAGAGTCTGAGGCATCCAGGGTGGGATTTAATACCTTCAAAGTATATTGATCTTTCGAGCTTGAGGACCTGAAGCAGCAGGAAGCCAAACAGCCAGCGCAGCGCCCTCAGTTCACCAGTCAGGCAAATGATCTGGGCATTTGGGGAATCTAATCTGCCCCCAATAAACACCCCTCAAGGAAAAGGAACTTATTAGAACAAGGAGAGGAATGTGAGCGAGGAGAACTTCTCGGTTGCTGTAAGAACAGCAAGCAGCTCCCTGGGATTCAGAAAGCTCTCGGCTTTCTTGTTTTCCCAGATGCACTGTTCAAGTTGCCATAGCCCAGAAGACCTGCCCGTCCTTCTTAACTGTCATGCCTCCAGTTGCCATGCAGAGAGGCATCTCCCAGGAAACAGCTACTCGTTTTTGTGGCCACTCTCCTATCATCTCCACCACCACCAGAGTTATTTACTGAAGCAACAAAGAGACAGCAGCTAACTGTGGAAAGCAGGTGTTCTATGAAGCGAACCCTGAG